CATTGTACTTACGTGCAATTGTTTTCGCAAACGATATACCGGTCATATTGTATAATATATGTATTAACATTGAAACGGATAATACATAATGCGTCAACGAAAGCTCGTCCAGTATAACGAAAATCACAAAGTTTGATCGAAATGCGCACACGTCACGTTAAGTATACGCCAACGCAAAAGCTCACAAAATCCACGCCACTCGCGTGCGTCGTTTCCAATTAACAAAAGCAAGCGCTTGATTACCATTATTTAAATAATTGCGAGTATATATAGGTACACGAGAGGCATTTACGATACACACCTATATAATTGTATAAATCACTCTGTATACGACAGACTGGGAAAATTGAGCGATTCCCAATGATCCACTGACCATCATCCCCATCCAAACCAACTTACACTGCACGCACATTTGTACGATCGGTGGAATGATTCGCGGTAGTATTACGACACGTATAGGGCCAGTCGCGTCCTTTCAATCGAACCTGGACGCGTATACGGTACCGATGTACACGCGAGCGTCTAAAGTCACGCGACAAGCCTCTATACCATTTTGTCCATGTATATATAATTATATATATANGTTGTACCTTCAATCGTTGTAGGTTATATATATATATATATATATATATATATATATATATATACACGATGTACGTGCACACGTGCAGGTAAGCAACCAAGTACACTAGATTTAGTAAACGAGCCGACGACAAGGGGTGATATTGCACCTTTGACTGAACGTCCTGCATTGCGGCATCGGAGCCTCTGCTGACGATGCCCCTGCACGTGTATCATGAATACGATGGACATATACAACCTTGGAATCATATGTAACCATATTAATAAGTTGTCGAGAGCCGAGAGAAGCGAATCCAGTGCGAGTACATGAACAACGAGATTTTTGCCGATCAGTGGTAAAAAAGGCGTTATTCAACAACGTATGGTGCAACAACGACACGATTAAACAACCGAGGCTGAAAAGTATATTATTATACACATTGCACAACTCACGCTCGGATTATTGAGAAATCGGTCGTTTTTTTTTTTTTTTTTTTTTTCAGCTGCACGTGCCTAAAAAGAACGTCTCGTTTGGCAAACAAGTGGCTCCCGGCCTAGACTTGATTGAAGATCGATCGAGCGAGAGCCAAAGTTGAGATGTAGATCCGCGAGGTATATCAAAGGAGAAACTCCTTCCCAGTTTGCACAGCCCAATCAAGCTCGATGTGCATACGGAGGATCAGGGGGATCCCCCCCCCCTTCGTAACTCGTTAAAGACTCCCGGCGCGTGCGTTTGCCCAAAGTATATATGCAAGCAAGCAAGTAAGTATGTACACACCGGCGTCAATCGGTTTACAACTTTCAGGATCAGGGAACTCTGCCCGAGATCACGGATACTCGTTGGAAGCCGGGGGATACCCCTTGCCGTCATCTCTCGTTAAAAATAATATTGAGAAATTTAAAATTCACTCCCAGCACCGCCCAGCACCCTCCTCGCGAAAAACAAAAAAACAAAAAAAAAAACGACATCAGTCCACGGAGCGTCGATACATCATTTCTGAGACGAAGAAACTCCCCCCACGACTCCCAAGATGCAATCAAACTCGACTCGTCTCGGCCTTAATTATTCGCTAATACCCCGTATACAGGGTCCCACCCCCCTTTTTCCGTATATATACCTGCAATCGCAGGGTCGCGGAAGCGCATCCCCCACCCTCTCGTCGAATTAATCGACTCGAAGAAGCAGCCTGAAATCGAGCTCGCTTCCGCGCCACTTGTTCTCCTCCTTAATCCCCCTCTCAAGTTACCTCATCTCCTCCGGAGAATATAATAGTTCGCTGCGAGCACTCTCTCTCTCTCTCTCTCTCTCGCGGCTGTATAACATATACGTATAATATAATACGATGGAATGCGACAAAAGCGATTATCGAGCTTTGCCCGGCCCAAACGCTATCGCGGTGCAATCGTCGCGGATGTACCCTACTGTATATGGAGTGACTCTGTTTTTTTTTTCTCCACCCCCCCCCTCCCTTTATCGGGCGAACGAACTCGCGGATCTCTCGTGTAGTGCGGCAGCGCCTTCGGAATTATGCAAGAGAGCCTTCTTAGCGCACCCGAGCACGAGGCCGAGCGCAATATCCGCCGAGCCGGATTATACTACCCTCTTTTTTTTCTTTTCCTTTTCTGCCCCCCCCCTCCCCTTCTATAGGTTTTATGCCTCTTCTTTCGCTGCTCCTTTCTTTTGGCTTCTCCTCCGATGTAATATTGTACCCACGCAATGCATGAATATATTTTCAGATAATTTTCATTTTTTTTCCCCCCTCGAAGCTCTACACAGTAAAAAAAAAAAAAAAAAAAAAACAAGAATGCTCCCCATCTCCGAATGAATAATGCACGCGTGCTCGCAATCAGCCGATACAATGTACGTCAAAACTCATTTCTCCTCCTCCTATGGATTATTCACGAGCACACAATGAACGCGAAATGAAACGATTCCATCCGATCTCCCTCCCGATGTCATCAATGAATATTTTCCACGTACAAATTGACGCGTGGGAGCATCACCCATGAAACAAGTGTCCGTCAACATTATTGTTGGTCCCTCGAGGATCGCACCGGTAATTGACTCATCCTCCTCGCACTTTGAATCGCCAAACAATAAAACACCAGCAGAGGCTCGGACCAATAAACGTACATTGCCATATAGCCATCAGTGGATTGCCGCATGCACTAAAGCGCTTTCGAGGAAATTACGTCGAGAGGAAGCTAAAAGACAGGAGAGATGAGAGTCCAAAGGTGGTGTGCGCAACGGAGAGGACGTGGGGATTACGATCGTGCTAATTTCACCCACTGCGCCGGAAACCCGAAGAGAGAGAGAGAGAGGGGCCGTCTTTGGATTTGCATTTTAGCACGCAATCACCCGGACGGTTGTCCCCTTCCGTTCGGAATCCTCTGCGCCTCATTAGACTTGTACCAGGAGTAAGCTCTTGCTTTCCGCTCCTGATGTGTGCAACTCTTGTCGCGCGTGCGTCGCCAACTTTATGCCAACTTCCGTGGGGATGAGGTGGTGGAAAGAGAAAGCCAAACTAGGAGACGCTCATCGTCTTCCCCTGTGTACTGCATACAGGAGATCGATGGGTGGCTTTTACTTTAATCGTGTTTTTGCCCTTTGAGAAATTATTCCTTCGTCGCTAAAGCAATGCGCGAATCTCACTGCCTACACAAATAGACGAATCGATGCCAAATTGATATCGTTTTGACAATTGTTCCAAAAGAAGAGCACGTGTAAGATTATTTCCCTTTGGTAAATTTTCATTTTAACATATACTGTTTGGCAACTTCGCGACATTGTTCTACCATATATTATATGTACGTAGTATAGATTTGTCAAATAAGCTACCGATATACGATATCGCGTGTCATCGGGAGAGGTGTGCTAAAAGGTCCGCGAGAGATGATGGATACCTTACGACTTTGCGGATTTCAGAGTAATATGCAACAATAGACGCGAAGGCATTGAGACGAGCAAGCGAGGCCCGGGGGCTCAAAACGAATCAACAGTTTGGCAGTGCAATTTTCGAACAGGCAGAGGGTAATCTTCTTCCTACATTATAGCCGAATAAAGTTTTGGGTGGAAAAAAAGAAGGGTCGACGCGACCTACATCTGTCGGTTATTGTCTCGGAGGAAGAGATAGAAAAAACACGTCGTTGCAAGACGGGGAAGAGCGTGCCCATGCATAGTCGTCACTGACATGAGAAAACAAGCTGCCAGAGGAGCAGATGCCGAGGACAAAACAACAATTGCTGTGCTATGCATATATATTATGTATATAGCATTTCCGAAGACGAACAAAGGGATGAGAAGCGCGAAAAGTATTGACAAAAGTATATTGCTTTGGCTGATGCTACCACGACCATAATATACGATATAATACATGGTATGCAAGTACGATGCACCGAGTGCACGATCGAGGAGGGAGGAGTACGAGAGCCACGCCCGCGAGATCGGGCAACGGGGGCAAGGAGGAGGGTAAGTGCCGGGTGACACGTGCAAGCTGCCTACGTGTATGTATAGGCGCGTTGCGTGTAATAGCTTTGCCACCCGATGGTGTCTTGGGTTATGCATGTAAGGGATGATGCACGAGACACCCCCGTTTCGGCGTCTTGTAACGCGTGGGATGGAGCTGCTTGAATTTATTGCGGTTGTTGTTTCCTTTACCTTGCAAATTTAGTCACGCCTGTCGGTGATATATTTCGATACATTTATGCATAAGGTTTGGAGCTTTTTGCTCTTGTGTTTACAATGTTGTAAATAGACGTATACGCTTTCCACGTGGAAACGCCACAAGGGCTTGTAGGGAGTGCACAAGCACATACGAATATGAAGGAAAAACGTGAGTACAATGATGGCTTTTAAAAATTGATGAAAAGCTGGAAATGAAAACAAACGAGGGTGAAATGAATGAAAAAGCTCTCACTCTCTCTGATTCAATACAACGTACAAGCAAATCAGAAACAAATGCGATATTTCTAGCTATGCGCCCAAAATGGTATTATCATTGGAGTGTTCGCTCTTTCCTCGGATTCACCTTAATTGGCCACGTTGGATTACGAACAATGATGTGCAATCCTGAAAATAAAGATTGGCAGCTCGGGAAATGGTTTTCCCCTGGGTTGGATGTGAGCGTGTACTCGTTTGTCGAAGCTTTCATGTACAGTATATTGAGTAGTTTTTTTTTTTTTTCTATATTTTCCATATGTTTTCTATCAGTAACGAAAATCGACAAGACAAAACCTGTGATTCTACAAGCTATGTTAAGGCTCAGCAAATAATAAAAATATATTTTATATATGCACATCTAGAGGTTCAATTTCACTTTACGAATATTAAATTAGGCCAACGAAGTAGTGGAGTGAGTAATTTTACCACAGCTTCGTGTTACTCTGTGAAATCAGTCACCTTTGGTTCATCTTGTACGTAAACTATTGTGCAAAATTACCTTTTTGCTGTCCATACCGGAGGTTGAATTGGTCACCGGCTGGTCAAGCCTGCAAAATAAAAACAAAGAAATATTATTATTATTATTATTATTATTATTATTATTATTATTATTATTATAACCACCATAACACATTTAAATTTGAATAATAACACACGAGTGAGTGCATTGATGAAAATACAAAATTACAAATAACAGTATGGATATTTTGTCATGGTTATCAAAATTTACATCGCTGCCTTTCAATGCGCTTAATAATAGTGTGGATTGATCAATCGCTTCAATAGTAGGCACCATGTTCAAGTATCACTTTATCCGAAAAAGGAACACCAAGTACGACGTAACAACCCCTGCCCCGCAAGTGCTCGATTGACGGGGAACACAGAAAAACCCGCAAATGGGGAGGAAAGGGTACATAGTAAGATACCCTTTCGAGCCCCACAGCCAACGGTACTTGGTATACGTATAGCAACTACATCCCCCATGCACACACCTTAACGCGTGAACTATATCTCTCAGTGCGAGAATTTCGGATGATATTGAAAACGCCGGGACCAGCGGTTGCCCGCAAAGCGGCTGCCAGTCTCGCGCCGAGTAATGAGATCCGCCAGCATATATAGGCACAGCGTGGGCGCACTTTGACCGCCTGCATGTATCCCCTCTAGGAGCATGGCTAAGGAGTAGTGGCTTTATCCTTTGATTACGATGCCAAGCTCTGCTTGCTAGAATTTAACTAAAAGATTGGTATTTCTGAGCTAAATTTGTCACGCGTGAAAAGTGAAATCGGGGTCTTTGGAGGGTCTTGATTTGAAACAGCGGTGCTCGCATTTCTTGGGGATTTTCCTGTTTTTCGAAAATAAATACAAAGCCTTTTTCAGCCCCACTGAGACTTTCTCGTATGTTAGCAATGATTGTACATTCCTCGATTTCTACTAGCATTTGACAATACAATTTTACCCAACTGTTGTAAAATCTATATTTAAAATATTTTTTTTATTTTACGCATGACATATTTTTAAAACTTCCCAAGTATCCATCAAACGTATTGAAATTTTTCCATTGGTATAAACTACAGTTTTGTTTAAAACCTCCTTTTGCTCGAGCCTCCATCAAAGTGATATTCCAATATTGTATCAAACCAAAAATAATTGCTCGTAGGACAGAGTAAAGAGACCGAAAATCCAACTGCTGCTGGAGGCAAATTCAATAGGTTACCACTTTTTCACTTGCACCCTGTCTCGTGCCGAGTTCGGCTGAATTGAATTATCGGAAAAGCTTCAATATAAAAAGATACCCCGATTGATTTTAAAACACCCTTAAAACATCATATCGTAAAAAAAATTGTCCATAATCAAGCAATTTAAAGTCGTATTCAAAGAAAAAGTATACGAGCAAGTACCACAAGTGTGAGATGACTTTTTAAAATTAAAAACTCCATTGCAGCGCTCGGGGACATCTTATTAACTAGTGGAGCAGCGTAAAAAAGTACGTGGAGTGAGCTCGTAAAATTACCAACGACCAACGCATCTTACGGCCATGGCTTGACAACGGTGACGAAAAAAAAAAAAAAAAAAATTCAGGTAATATTACCTCGAGAGGAGGATGAGCGAGCGGTAGCCACCGGTTAATTTGCATAGAGATTTCGCCGCTGTTGAACTTTCGCGGTAGCGACTCATCCCTCCGTTGTTTCGGCGATGAGAGTGTTACCTTTAAAAAACTTTCTTCGGTGTGCCATTATTGCCTTTTTTTCTTTGCTCGTATACTCCCTTGTCTCGTGTACTCTTTTTTAAAACCCCATTTATCCTTTAATTTTTGCACTTGCTTTTGAGCAAACAGCTCAAAATTCTGGTAAAACAGGTGCACGAAAAATATTAAACTAATCAAAGCGAGAAAAAATGGCCCCGATAACTGATAGCTAAACCGAGATAAGACTGAGGATTGAATGTACACATGACACATTATTCCATGGCGCGATAAAATCAGAGATACTGGGATAATCCCCGCCGCACCTATACCTAGTGTCACTTGCTCTCGTCCAAAAACTTTTCCGGACGATTTACACAAAGTGCTATGGCCGATCGTAAAAGATTCTTCTTTCTCTTTCTCCGAGAGAGGATTGAAAAATTTTGGTGGACTCTTCTTTCTTTCTCGATCTCAATGGATTGTGCGCCTACGGGTCGAGTGTCTACGTTTTTATTTTTTCCGTAATTTTTTAAGGAAATTTTATGTATATTTTAAAAATGTGCTGTTTTTAAATTAATCTCTACGCTTTCTTGGGTACGTAAAAATTTGGGACGATAATTTGCGATAATTTGCTCTACTGTAATTGTGCAAAAGGGTAAATTAATCATACACCGGGTTGCCATTGTGAAATGATATAACAAATGTGCCCTTTTCTTCGAGACGATGGTGTAATGGTTCGAAATTGGATTATTGCTCGTTTTAGCGACTTGGCAAATCGATCAGTGGTAGGAGATGTGGTGATCAGCTACATAAACAGGGGCACAATCGATCGGGACAGTACGTTTTTTTTTTTTTTTTTTTTTTTATCTTCCAGTGCTTGTCGTCGCGGATGATAAATTGAATCAGCTATTACGTTGTTTGGGCTCTATATATCCAATTGTGTGATCTCTGTGTACATTGGCCCCGTCAGATCAAACAATTCGTATATCGGTAATGGCTAAGCTGATTGTATCCTTTTCCGGAAATACGAAATTTAGAGCTTGAAAATTAATCTCGTCATGTCCACGAATCGTTACGAATAATGTAGCACGCGTGTGGGTGCGTTTCTATTTTTATTGTGAATAATGTCACTCGAATTTCCAATTATACGTCAGCTATTGATTGTTACGGTCAATAATCACTGAATGTGGGTGAAATTTGAGAAAACTGTGTAGCATACGGTGAAAAACAGCCATCGCTATTATTTTCAGTGATTTAAGATCTGCTAAACACCACCATATTCTTTTTTAAAGAAATAACATTCCAATAAAAATACTAACCAATAATTGAGAGCAAACGAGACCGCGTTTCCCACCGACACTTTGTCGCAATCCAAATTCACCTTAAACTGTCCAGACTTTTTGTCCGGCTCACTCTTTCATTTCGTTTCCTTTTAATCGTGTATGATGAAAAAAAAAAAAAAAAAATTACCAGAATCCTAAAGCTTTTTTAACTTGGAGTGCACAGCTGCATCGCGCCGAGACAGACTTGCAACATTTATAAGCCACCCCTACGTAGCCCTCATCTGCAGTCCACTTGCTCCCCCTCCCCCTGCCACCCCTTTTCAAATTTTCATCCGCTCTTATCGGACTTGAGCTGGATTTCATTTATTTCAAACTTTTTTCCGCGCTCGTAAAACTTTTGTGTTTTTCTTTCCCCTATAAAAAAAAAAAAAAATCTCTTCCCTCCCAAGAAACCAACCACATTGCACCACCAGCGTGTCTTACCAGTCTAAAAAATTCCAAAGACACGTGAACATGTTGGCAGCCGGTAGTCGAGGCAGCCTCGAACAATGCTCGCCCGGTTTTCCCTCTTCTAGCGGCAGCGTCCGAAAATTACAGCACAGCCCAGGAGCCGATCGATTAGGCCTTGCCTTCTCAGCAGTGGGGGCAGCCCCTGAGCCTCCTAGGGCCTGCCGACTCTTCCATCCCCTCCTGAAGGCTCCTTTTTCTGCTTCTGGTTATATTCACCATCGATTCTTTTTAACGGAGTTTCATCGCACTTTTTTTCTTTAACTTTTGAGTTCTGAGAGGTTTTTTTGTACAATGTTTTTCATGCGATGCACTGTTTAGGGATAGTGGCGGTGGTTATGCTTTCTAAGGATAAAGAAAACGTGTACTTTGGTATACCAAGACAAATATGGCATTTTCGGTGTTTTGGGGAGAAAACGTTTTATTTAAACGTAAAGCCTCTCCTCGGACGAGTGATATGTCACCGACTTTGAAGCACAGATGGGCAAATGTATTTTTTACTTAGCTATTTCCCTCTGCATCCAGTCCCGAGTATTCGTAAAAAGAGAAACAATTGCTCACATCGGTATGCCAAAAATTTTTTTCCCTTTTTATTTTTCATTATCGTTTCAGCGCTTACCAAAAATAAAAATACGGACAAATCCTAATACTGAAGAGATTGTGAATGAAAATGAGTAAGCGAAGGGGCGAAAACGCATGTACACCCAGTGCAGTAGTATCGGTCCCCCGCTGGGCATTTCGCGGCTTCGTATCGGGGAATTTCCGCAGGAACGGGGGACAATGCCGGGGATCGGCTTCTCGCCTCCACCCTCGTACAGGCTTACTACGGGAATCATTCATACGTGGAGCACAAGAGGGGAGTTCCGCGGCTAATGGCTCAATCGAAGCAAAATGTAATTTACGTCCCTTTGTGTGATATACCTATTCTGCTCTTTGGTGGCACATCGTACGATTGTTTATATGGCAATGAATATTTTGCATTAGTAAAAACGTAGGTTCGCGTTGCACGAAACGATGGCGCAGACGCAAAAAGCATCAAATCCAGGCCGTCCCGTCCCGATGACTTTTCAAATTACGCGATGCAAAATCCCCTTCGGGACGCGCCAGAGGGAGGGGATCGCGCGATTAGCATTCGAAACACAAGGGTGCACGAGCCGGCAGTAACTCTCGGCGAATTACACAGCAGTCCCCCGCGTTCGGTCGATCGCACGCCCGTAACATCTTCCCCCGCCGCCGCTGTCCAACAGCCGCGTCTCGAAAAGTGACGTCGAGGTGAACACGAGAGCCACGGAATTTCGATCGGCGAAGGCACGAAAATTGTGTACCAGTGCTCTTTGAGAATAGCGCGCTTTGATCCCCCTTTGGCCAATTACAATCCCATCGGCAGTGCGCGTTTGGAGGTATACGAGTCGCGCGATGAATCGCGCGGGTGGACGAGCTAGATTAGCTTGGCTCACGAACACTTTTTCTGAACGCACGTAGAGGCTCGTTTATTATTTCTGCCGCCGGTCCGGAGGGAGAGAAATAGAGACAGGGTCTGTTTTTTTTTTTGTACCGCTGCGAAGGACATAAAGTT